TTGCATGAATGAAAAGAATGTCTTTTTATCTCCCCTCAATTGAGAATGTGGCTTGTTTAGGAAATTTAGGTAGGCTTTCCCTTAGGATCTTAAAATGACTTTTAAAAATTTATTTTATTTTTATTTTATGTGTATGAGTGTATTGTCTGCATGTATGTATGTTCACCCATGTTGTGCATTGCCCGAGGGGGTCAGAAGAAGGTGTCAGATCATTTGGAACTGGAGTTATGGAAGATTGTTAGCTGCCATGTGGGTGCTGGGAACCGAACCTGGGTCCTCTGCAAGAGCAGCCACTGCTCCTAACTGCTGAGCCCTCTCTAGCCCTTAGCATTTTAAAGATGTTGCTTTATTATCTTCTAGCTTCCAGTGTTAGAATTGAGAAGACTGATCCTAATCCTTTATATGACGTTGCTTTCTCCTTTCTAGAAATTTGTCTCTTTGTTCCTAGTATTCTAAAACATTACAATGTTGTATTTAAAATTTCTTTTTCGAATCAAGGCCTCACTGTGTCTCTTAGGCTGACCTCAAATTTGTAATCCTCTGTCTCATCCTCCCAAGTGCTGGGATTACCAGTTTAGACCTACCATTGCTTGACTTGAAACTTTGCACTGTTTTGTGTTTTGCTTTGTTTTGTTTTGAGACAGGGTCTCCCTGTAGCCTCAGCTGGCCTGGAACTCGCTATGTAGACTAGGCTGGCCTCAAGTGCTGGGATACCACCATGCCCCTCTGAAACTTTGCAGTTTTGATTATTCCTGATAGAGCTCTTTTTAACATCAGAAAATCTTTAAAAAGTTTTTATCAACTAAAAAATTTATTTTGTGTACATGTGTATGTGTGTGGGTTTGTGTATGTGATTCTAACTACCAGAAGTGTGAGAATCTGGTCAGAGCAGAAGGTAGGTGTTTTGATGTTCAGTGAGTTGAACCTGTGCTTAATTCTTGTTTCATACAGTACCCTCACCTTTAGCTGTACTTTGTTTTCTAGGCAAGAGAACTTTTGTTTAGCCCTCTCCAAGCAAAAAATTTACCCTTGTATCGAAATGAAGGAGGGGTAGCTGCCTGAATCGGGATGGGTACATTAGTCCCCCAGAGAGGTTATAACTGAGTTGCCCAAACTGGGTGGTTTTGAATAATAGAAACGAGTCAGGTGTGCTGAAGCATGCCTATAATCCCAGCACCAGGAGGCTGAGGCAGGAGGATGTGAGCTCTAGGACAGCCCTGGCTACAAAGTGAGACCCTGACTGAAACAACAATTTCCCCCCAACCCCTCACCTGAAGTAGTATTGTCATAGTTCTGGAGGCTAGAAATTTAACCTCAGGGTATCTGTGGGTGCAATGCTCCCTCTGGTGGTTTGCTAACAATGCCTGACACTTTCCAGCTACACAACTTTAACCCTTCATGATCAGATGATGCTCTCCCTGCATCTCTGTCTCTACATAGCTCTCTTCTTGGACAACATTCATATTGGATTAGGGGGCCGTTCACTGCAGTATGACCTCATTTCCACTAATTACATCTGATTTGAGAATATCATTTGGTGGGTAAGGTCACAATTCAACCTCGAATATCGGGGAGGGGATTAGGTATTCTTAATTATTTCCTCCTCCTCTTCCTCCTCCTCCTCCTCCTCCTCCTCCCCCCCCCCGTTTTCTTTGCTGCTGGAGGGGCTTTACCCATGCTAAGCAAGTACTCTAACACTGAGCTGCAGCCTCAGCTCCATTTAATTTTTTATGCTATAAAATTCCAATTTTTAGAAGATTTAAATATTTTTAAATATTTAAATATTTTCTTTTAATTAAATTAATTAATTAATTTTTATGTGTATGCGTGTATTGCCTGCATGTAGGTAAGTGCACCCATGTCGTGCAATGCCCGCAGAGGACAGAAGAGGCTGTCGGATCCCCTGGGACTGGAGTTACGGACAGTTGTTAGCTGCCATGTGGGTGCTGGGATTTGAATCCGGGCCTTCTGTAAGAACAACCAGTGCTCTTAACCTCTGAGTCATCTCTCTGTATATTTAAATATTTTTAAAAATAAGTATGTTTTTATTTTGAATTGAATGTGTGTGTGTGGATGTGGGTATGTGCATGTGAGTTCGGGTGCCCTCAGAAGACAGAGGCATCAGATCCTCTGGAGCAGGTGTTACAGGCAGTTGTGAGTTACTTGACATAGGTGTCAATCAGCTTTCTGTCACTGTAGAAATACCCAATCAACTTATCAATTAAAATTTATTTTGGAAATTTCTGTCTCCCGTCGATTGACCCCTTGTTTTGGGCCTTTGGTGACATCATGGCAATGGGGCATGGTGAAGTAAAGCTAATCACCGCATTGTCTAGAAGAGAACAACAGATGAAGAAGGAACTTGGGAGTCCCACTCTTCCTTTAAGGGCACTCCCCCAATGACCTGAAGACTTCCTACTAGGCTCCACCTCTTGTGGATGTTTTGAAAGGCAGGTTATTTCTGTGTAGCCTAGACTGGCTTTGAACTCATGATCCTCTTGACTTAGCCTCTCAAGTGCCAGGATTACAGATATGCTTTATTATACCTGGCTTAGGCCTCACCTCTTAATTTAAAAAAAAATTGTGTGAGTGCATGTGTGTGCGTGTGTGTGGGTGTGCACATGTTATGGCCTCTGTATGGAGGTTAGAGGACAATTTTCAAGGGTCAATTCTTTCCTTCTGTCATGTGGATCCTGGGGATCAAACCCAGCTTACCAAGCTTGGTGGCAGCTTCCCTTACCCCATGAGCCATCTCAGGGACCCAACGCCTCATCTTTTAAACTTTCTATTGCTAAGTTGGAGAGATGGCTCAGAGGTTAAAAGCACTGGCTGCTCTTGCAGAAGACCCAGGTTTGAATCCCAGCACCCACATGGCAGCTAACAACTGTCTGTAACTCCAGTCCCAGGGTATCTGGAAGCCTCTTCTGACCTCCACTGGCATTGCACTGACACGGGTGCACTTACCTACATGCAGGCAATACACACATACACATAAAATAAAAATAATAAATAAAATATTTTTTAAAAGTGTTTTGATTGCCAGTATGTATACTGGTATATGTGTAGTGCCCTTGAAGGCTAGAAGAGGATGACAGAGTCTCCATGTGTGTGCTGGGAGTTGAACCCAGGTCCTCTGGAAGAGCAGCAAGTGCTTTTAACCCCTGAGCCATGTCTCTAGCTTCCTGCAATACTGCTTTGAAAGGATTTTTCTGTGATGTGGCTGCATTGTTTAGCATGTGTTATGATGAGGCAGAAATTATAGCTAATGAAATATGAGAGGTGGGTTCCCTGAGACATAGTATGCCCTTTCTTTGTCCCATTCTTCACCTTTTTATGTAACCTCTTCCCTAACTTTGCTATTACATGCACTATGGATGGACTGAATCTCATGTATGCATTTGACCAGATGAAGGACTGCATCCCAAATTAATGAATGAACATATGTGTGATTCACAAGGACAAATAGATATTTTTCTATTCAATTGGTGTCTAGTATAAGCTCTAAAGAGAAGGGATTGGGTTTCCTTTCCTAGCAAATGAGGCTATATTAATATTAAAAAGTGAATGCTTATATTAAATATATTCTAGTGGGAATCACACACATTTCCTCCAATATTTGTCATTTAAAAGAGTATTTTAGCAGAAGATGAGATCCTTGGCATGCCAGAGTAGCTTAACAATCAATCTATACTTTTTAAATGCTGAGCAAAATAAAAAATTGCATTGAAAAATTCAATAAACTGCTGGGTGTGGTGAAACATGCTTTAATCCCAGCACTTGGGAAGCAGAGGAAGGCAGATCTCTATGGGTTCAAGGTCAACCTGATGTACATAGAGAGTCAAGCCAGTCAGAGCTGCATGATGAGACTCTGATTAAAAAAACATCACTTTATTTAGCTCTGGTAAGGTTTGCTATGACTCAGTAGCTTGGATCACAAGAGCAATCAATAATTTGCTCTTATCAGGAATGTGAATTTATCAATTCAAAATGAAATGGAGAAATGTTATTTGGAAGTCTTTATATTTGAAAAATATCCAAAGTAGATGCTACATTCTGTCCCAGGTGCTTATAATGCTTAGGTATGATGTGTTATACGTATGTAGCAACAGACCTATTATTGTTTTATAATTCAGAGTAGGTCATTCCAAATCCATTCTGTAAAAACAATATGCAACTAAAAAAGTTAATGGAGGCTGACTCAAGAGTAGGTTTTTATCTCATGAATTCAAACCTTTATGTTGAGCCAGGCAAGGTGGCACATGCCTTTAATCCCAGCATTTAGGAGGCAGAGGCAGGTGGATCTTTGTGAGTTTAAGGCCAGCCTGGTTTAACATAGTGAGTTCCAGTACAGCTGTGGCTACAGGGAGACCCTGTCTTTAAAAAAAACAACACCAACCCCAACCAAATATTTATGTTAAGTGTGGCCTGTTCAAATATTTTTTAAATGAAAAAAATTGAATAGAAGTCCCAGGGATTAATTTACTTATTTCTTATTTTTAAATTTTATTTTATATATATGAGTGTTTTGCCTGCATGTATGTAAGTGTGGCCATGTTGTGCAGTGCCTGAGGAGACCAGATGAGAGCGTTATATTCCTTGGAACTGGTGTTACAGATGGTTGTTAGTGACCATGTGGGTGTTGGGAGTCAAACTCAGGTCCTCTGCAAGAGCAGCTAGCGTTCTTAATTGCTGCACCATCTCTCCAGCCCCTATTTATCATTTCTTGATTAAAACTGTATATTACTAGTTCCAGGATATCTGCTGGAAGTAACTTATTTAGATTAAAGTCTTGTGAGTAAAAACTGATGCACCAATGATAATAGTATAAAAGAGCTTACGAATATGTCATGTATTTGCTTAAGGAAGTATACCAAAGACTTGTTTCTACTTGATTGCCTATTGTTTATAGACAGACAAGAATATTGCCAAAGAACTTTGGTTTCCTGACAACTAGCTCTCTGTCAAAATAATGAAGAATGGTTAATATACAGATCTTGATATCAGGCAAACAGTTCCTTTCCTTCTTTTTCCAATTTTCTGGTCTCTTTTTTGGGTTCTTTAACCGCCGAAAGTTGAAAAGACGGGGTGTAGGAAATGACCGTCTTCTCCTTTGTACTTGGTTTGTCAGCTCGTGGTTCCTAGTTAGAATGAGAAATAAAAGTAGAAAATGTTTTATGTTTGGATTTTACTACTTTATGTTTTATTATCTATTTTTGCTTAGCTTCATCTTCCAAAAATTTACAGAGAATTTTTTTTTTGGTCTTTTTGAGACAGGGCTTCACTATGTAGCCTCAGTTGGCATGGAACTTGCCATGTAGACCAGGCTGGCTTTGATCTCACAGGGATCTGCCTGTCTCTTTCTTCTGAGTGCTGGAACTAAAGGTGTGTACCACCATGCCTGGTCTTAAAAGTTATATTTAACATTTTTATTTGATGTGTGTGTGTGTGCATGTGCCATGGTACACATGTGGAGGTCAGCAGACAACTTTCAGGAGTCAGTTCTTTCCTCCCACCATGTGGGTCCTTGGGGACCAAACTGTGGTTGTTAGGTTTGGCAGCAAGCACCTTTACCGATGAGCCATCTTGCCTGCTCAGCAGAATTTTTCTTTAAATTTCAAAGTAATATATCAATACATGTTCATTATAAATACATACAATGTGGAAGTATAGAGGCAGATTTTACATAGTATAGCTTTTTATTGTTAAACAGGACCTCACCAGCCTGAAGCTACAGCCACTCAGGAGGCTGAAGTGACACCATCTCCTGAGCCTAGAGGGTGAGGTCATCTTGGACAACACAGTACAAGTGCATGTCTCAAAAATGACAGAGATGGGGATGTAGCTCAGTAGCACAATGTTTGCTTAACATGTGCAAGGCCTTGGGTTCAAGCACCACATACCAGGAGGGCTTGCATCTGAGAAAAGCATTATGAGAGATGTGCTGTATTTAAGTTAGCATGTGGAGCCACAGGTTTTTTTTTTTTTATCCTTCTCTCCTTTCCTTTCCTTTTTCTCTCCCTCCCCTCCCTTTCCTTCCTTCCTTCTTTCTTTCATTTTTTCCCAGCTTGTCTGATGTGGAACTGAAACAGCTGGTGTTTATCAGAATAGCTACTAATACTGTTTTTTAAAAAAATATTTATTTTTATTTGTGTGTGTGTGCTTGTCTGTCTGTTTGTATAAGTGTGTGCCACTTGCGTGAAAGTGCCCACAGAGGCCAGAAGATGTGTGCAAGTGCCCATGGAGGCAAGAAGAGGATGTAGATCCCCTGGAAGTGGAGCTACAGGCAGTTGTTAGCTTTCCAGTGTGTGTGTTGGGAACTGAACCCAGGTCCTCTGGAAGAGCACTAAGTGCTCTAAACCACTGGGCCATCTCTCTATGCCCATATTAATACTGTTTAGGGATTCTAGGTTTTTTTTTTAAAGACAGGTTCCTGCTATGTAGCTCAGGTTGACTTAGAACTCAATATTTTAATCCAGGCTACCTTTAAATCATGATCCTCCCGCCTCTACCTTCTGAATGCTAGAAGATGTATACTACTAGCCCTGGCTGTTTCAGAATTGAAAATGTGCGCTGCCAGGAAGAAAGTAGCTTATGCTATCCAGTGTACTGCATGCTAAAGGCATTGCAACCTTCAACTTGGACATTAGAAGAATTTTCCTTATGCAAATAGATTTACTTATAGACAGTTTGAATACTGTCCAAAATAATAAACGAGTTCAGTGCAAGTGAAATGCAGTAACCTTGGTAGAAGAAGCCTTTCCCTCTTTAGGTGGCATATAAGCTTTTCTCATTTTTTCAACTTTCTGTTTAGCTTGCTTGGATCGACGACCCAGATGTTTCGTTTTGCTTTGCTGTTCCCGGGGCTGATAAAAAGGACCTATAGTGGTAATGCATGGACACCTAGAAGAAGTTTTCATTAGACGGTGAAGAAAAAAAAAACAAAATTTAAATGCAAGGCAAGTTTTACACTTTATTAAAGTGTTCTCTAGCAGATATATGATAGATTTCAGAAGGTGGAGCAACTGTGCATCTGAGTTTTTAGGTTCAAGCTATCATTTCTACTTGACTTTACATAGCATTGGTCTTTACCGGACACTTGTGGGGGTATACAGGTGATGATGGTGTTGACAATTATGATGCTGAGAATGGTAAAGCCTTCTATCAATTTCAAGTAAAGTCTTCTTGAAAGCACTGTTCAATGGCCACTTGAATTTTTTTTTTTTGAGACAGGGTGTCACTACAGAGATCAGGCTGGCCTCTAACTCACAGAGATCCACTTGCTTCTGCCTTGCGAGTGCTGGGATTAAAGTGTGTGCCACCATACTCAGCATGAATTTTTTGTTTGTTTTGAGACAGGGTCTCCCTGTAGCCACAGCTGGCCTGGAACTCGCTATGTAGACTGGGGTAGCTTAGATCTCACAGAGATACGCCTGCATCTGCCTCCCTGGTGCTGGGACTAAAGGCGTGTCCCACCACACCCAGCCATGAATTTCTGTTAACACCATAACTAACACTAAAAATTACATTTTATTAACAGCTGAAAAAGTAAGCTACTTTTAGAAATCAATTTTTAAAGTTAACACATAAACTAATGTGTTTCATCATGAAGGTGTATTTCTGTGTGTGTGTGTGTGTGTGTGTGTGTGTGGCATATGTGCCTGTGTGTGTGTTCACACGTATGTGTGCATGTATGTATGTGCAGGTGCATGTGTAATTGTTTACTTGTGTGTGTGGAGGTCCAAGCTTTATATGTGATGTCTTCCTCCATCGCTCTCCAGTTTTATTTATTGAGGCAGAGTCTTTTGCTGGATCTGGAGCTTTCCATTGGCTAGTCTGGCTGACCAGCTTACCCCACGAATCCCTGTGTCTGCCTCCAGGGTGCTGAGATTATAGGTGGCCACCACACCTGCCTGGCTTTTTATGTGGATTCTGGGGATCCAAACTCTGGTCCTCATGCTTGTGCAGCAAGCACTTAATTCACTGAGCCGTCTTTCCAGACCAATGAAACTGTTTTATTAAATTGGTGTTGGGATCAGACACAGTTGGTATCATGGACTTAGTCCCCTTGGCCTTAACATTATGGGGAGATCAGCCCAATATCCACCTTCCAGCACCCATATCATTCGTCCTGAGAGCTGCCTTTCAGAACAAGAGTGCATGTGCAGGGAAGGTTAAAAGTACCCGAGAGGTAGTACTGCTCCTGATAGCCAACACTCAATGAATGACTGATGGGTGATGATGTATAGATACCCCCACTCCCTGGATCACCATGGGATAACTCTGAGAGCTGTGCTCTACATTGCTCTGACATTCCCTGGGAAGCACTAAGCTCCAGGCACCCGCAGTGGTAAATGGCTTGCTAACTGATACAGTTTTGGTTGCATCTCCTTCTGTTTCACTGCTGTATATCTCAGCAGTTCTGGAATCATCTTCCAAATCAACTGCTTGAACTCAAATCCTTGTCTTGGGATTTGCTTCTGGGGGTTCCTTAGATTAGGACTCTATCCAAAGATGCTCTTATGAAAATATTTTTCCTCTTCAGTTGATTTGGAAGTTGGCTAGTTATTTGGTTCTTAAGTGACTCATTCTTGGATAATCACTAGCATGAATCCAAATAACAGGGAGCTTGAGGTTACATATGGTGGCAAGGAAAAGTACATCATTTACCTGACATTGGTGGTAATAGGTTTAAGTTCTATATTCAATGCTTATATTGATGAGTTAAGGAAAATCTATTTCATGATGACAGACTGTGCCCTGAACCAGGCTATCCATCTGGCAAGTGCATAGCCTTGACTATAAAATAAACCAGTTAAATTATGTTATTGGGTCAGCATCTCTCATCTTTACTCCTGAAAAACCTTAATATGTTTGCTTGGCAGTGGGTCATCAGTGGCTTCTTTATGGTCTAAAGGAATTTTTTTTTCATTTCAATCTATGTGTAGAAATACATTACAAAGAAGTTTTCTTCAGTGTTATCATCACTTTCTTTTTCTTAAGAAAGCCAGCTTCATTTATGAAGAAGATGGGCTAGGTGTGTCTTATTAATGGTAATAAAAAGGAATATAATTGGAGCCATCGCCTTCTGTGCATGTCGTTTCAGATCATCTATTTTGTCACCTATTTTGCTACAACATGCATTTCCAAAATGTGCATTAGTTCATGCGCTACTGGTAAAGAAGGGAACAATACCACTGTAATTTATGTGCAATTTGTCCTAGGCAAGGAGAGCCAAAATAACAAGAGTACAATGATGGCTTTCAAATGAAAAGGAAAAAATCTTCAGTTCTGTGCTGTATGGGCAATGGGTGCCCTTTTGGCTGTATGTATAAAAACAAAAAAGTTACTGTACCCAGGCAGCTGTACCCAGGCCTCTCTCCCCAGAAAGGTATACTCAGCCACCCTAACTCATGCTCATGACCTTCACCAGTTCCCTGCCCAGGATGGCTCTTACTTCTTGTCAGGTTGCACTATGTCCTCTTAAAAGGCGGACATGCTGGCTCAAGTCTTCTTTTCCATCTGTACCACCTCTGTGTCCACCATCTGCTCTAATTAAAGATGCAATAATATTTCCCTCTATCACTGTACAGTATTTAGATGTGCCAGGGCAGCCTCTTGCCACCCTGAGCTGCCCACTTGTGGTACAAGGTATCTCCCTGGGTACCGATTGGCCTCTTTGTTAGTATTCTGCTTATGAAGTTGCATATGTTTTGGGCAACCTGCCCATTCCTAAACTGTTTATCAGAAAGGGAACATTTTTAGGAATGCCTTTAGTGTTGTAACCCGAGGTAAAGCCGTCTTTTACCTAACTTTAGAGACAGCCTCCAGCTGTTGCTGGCGCATCTCTTCTGTCTGTGGTTTCTGTACCAGATACTTCATTTCTTTTTGTAAACGACTTGAGATTACTCCAGTCTCTGCATAATCAACTATGTCGTACATCATCATTGTCTTGGGAATGCTTCTGAGGTTTAATCTTCGCCAGTGGTTATTTCTGCCACCAAATGCTGCAGGGGTCTCATCCATAAGACTGCAATACTACATGGGAAAAAATAATGCAGACTGATTGGTTGTGGGTGCTCTATAATGGTTTTTTACTCATTCTCAAGGTTGCACTATTTAAGTGGCTACTTCATCTGAAAGGCATTCCTTGGTCTCATCTCCAAACCCTATTGGCATCTCTTTTCTGTGACTCATGTTACCAACTAAATGCTTCTTT